CCTTTAAAAAATGTTCCTTCATTATAAAAATCCTGACTTAGAGTGTAAGAGTTCCATTATATAACAGAGTTTGAGCTCCATCAGTTTGATTCATTTCCCCAAGAAGTTTTCAAGCCGCTTTTCCTCACTGGTTTTAACAAAACTCTTGAGTTATGCCAGCATGCGGGAAATAGGGGTAGTCAGTCTTATGATGCTACCAGAAGACTTCTTTGGATTCACGTGTTTGTTGCCTGGTTTGTGCGACTTCTCGCATATCTTCTGTCAGAAGAGCCTAATCCTGCTTTTTCCCTCATACCATTGTACACAAGGGCTCACAAAACTCTTGCACTTGTAACAGAGAAGATTTGAAGCATTACCATGTCCAGACTGTTCATGCTTCTCCTTGCCCAGCAGACACCACCTCTCCTAGCACAGGAGGTGCATGGACTGAATGTCGCCTTGTGCCATCCCCACCTCCCCAGTCATAGGCCAAAATGCACAGCAGGAGCAGCCACATCTAAAACCACTCCGTCAACAACTGCAAGGCCTGTAACTCCACCAAAACTGATAAAATGACATAATGGTGTGATGCTCCAGTAGACTAAGTCATGTCTCTAGGGTGTCAAAAACATCATCAAGTGAAAACTGTAGAAAATTTAAAATGTAACTCCCTCCACAGAACACTGCAGAAGATATTCAAAATGAATGTAGCATTTTAGTATGATTCAAAATGAATGTGGCAATTATGGTGTGAACTATAAACCATTGGTCAGAATTGGATTCTGATTAAATTTTCACTTGTTTTTGTTTTGGTTTGTTTATTTTTCTCTAGAAGTGAAACTTTTACACTATACTAAAGTCCTGTTTCAGCAAAGCACACAAAAACCTAAATTTAGATTATAGATTCCAAGAGCCTGAGATCAGGAAGGGACCATCTGTGGGTGCTCTTCTGTAGCACAAACCACTTAACTTCCCCTCCTGACTTCTTACTCAAGCCAAATACTTTAAAGTCCGGGGGCCAATTCCTTTGAAATGAATTTCAATTACCCACCTGCGTTGAATCACAAGCCAGTTACATGGTTTGTTGGACCAGGGCCTCCAGGAAATCAGATTCTGGTCCCCAACACTCCAGATCTTTCCTGAGGTTTTTAATAAATGGTTTGAATACAGTTCTCTCATTTAAGATTTCCATGCATTTGCGAGCAGGTTGGCTTTACTGAGAGTAGCAAGATGAAGGCTTTCTGTAGCTGTCAGCTCTTATCCTTAAACTGCAAATTAAGCACAAATCTTCATTTAAACATGTATGCCTTTGTCCCTAGCCTAGGAAGAGAAGACATGTAGTTGAAGCCACATTTTGGTGCTTCTCACAGCCTCACACTGTCTGTGGCCCAAATTCAGCTCCTGGTTAAATTGGTAAGTAAGTGTTTTTTTCTATTTATATTGGCATCAAAGACACAAGACACATTAACAAAGTTAGATGCATATGACTGCTAGCATGCTTCATGTTAAGCATGCAGTTAATTTTATGGGAATGGAAAATGGAGAGCAAAGTTCTTGATGTCTTCTGAAAGCTGTGTTCCAAGTGCCTCAAATTTAACATGATTCCATATGGAAAGTTTGATTGCTTAGAGCATTAATCTACCTGTCACTCTCAAGACCCCAACTCAGGAAACTGTTTAACACTAAGGGACTTAAGCAGGATTTGAGTCCATGCTCAGCATTATGCAAGTGCTTATGTGTCCTCCCTGAACAAGAATTATCTTCCCAATTGACTCCCAAGAGATCTAGCAGGGAATACTGCATGAACAACAACATCTATAATGAAGCTTCAACACCTCACTCCTTTTTTCCCTTTCCCACCCCTCAATTTTAAATAAACAGGAAAGACAAGATTTGGAGATCAAGTCAAATGTCCAATTTATTTTTATAACTTGAAACTGGAACAAACGTTGTTTTGAACGAGCGTACAAATGAAATGGTAGACACATGCTGAACTCAACATTGTGACAATAAGGGAAAAAAAAAAAGAGGCCAAAATCTTGTACAGAGAATAAAAGGAACAATAAATATTTCACTAAGCCATATTGAAATGACCTCCAGCCATCTCAACATTTTATCCATAATAAAAAAAAAGTGCTCTCGTTTTTTAAACGGAGCACAAATACCAAGCAATAATAAATAGTTCCAAACTTGTAGTAAAAGACAAAACCTCCAAGTAAACAACAAAAGCTCATACAATAAGTAATAGAAAAAGGTAATAAAAATATTTTGCCTTGCCGGTACAAATGCAAACAACTTAAATCAACGTTACTTTGCTTTGCAGTTCTAAAATACAAAGAGCACCATAAAAATGAGTTTGCCTGTGATAAACAAAACCTTGGACTGTCTTTTACATAGGACTGGGATGAAATGCTGTCTTTTTGACTCTTTCCTTATAATCAGTCTTTTTTTCTGTCTAGAACAGGTAACCGGGCCCGTCCTGCTGCCAGGGGAGTCAGCCAGAGTTTTTCTCTGGACTTCAAAAGGCAGCAGGACTAGACACAATGGAAGTAATAAATTCCACCTAATAATAACAACAATAAAAATAATCTATCTAAATTGTGAAGAGAACTATGGCAGCATTCTAGCTATTGTATGTCTGTTATATTGTGCTTACGGCCTAGTAAACTATGGTTCTCCTAAGTAAGAAGAAAGGAGGGCTATTTCATTATCACTACAGTCTGCAGAAACACAAACCTTGTGCTTTTGGGGCGACTTCCTGTCAGCTTTCGTTATTTAAGTCACAAACTTAAACAATTGCTGGTGTTAGCTATCCTGGATAATTAAAAAAAAAAGTAAAAGATAGAGAGGGGAAAATATAAAAAAAAAAAAAAAAAAAAAGAGAGACTGGAGCTCCCAAACAATTTGTACTAAAATGAAAGGTGAATTCTTTCTTAAATCAATGTCCTGTAGACTGAAAACCTGTGGTTAACTTCAGATCTCCTGACAGAACTTCTCATCTTCTGATTACGGACATACAGCTAAGGGGTTAAGCTGAATTCTGTGACATTACTCTGGATTTATGTGAATGTCAGAGATCAAAATTTTCCCCCAAAAGTGAAAATGTGCCTTTAAGGGCTCACATTCCACCGTTGTATATGCTGGAGCAACCCAGTGATGAGTAATTCCTGATTTATATCAGTTTAATTGACATCCAAAATTTGTCCAGAAGTCTTAAGGGCACAATGTTCATGCCAGGAGGACGTATTTATCTGTTAGATAGCTGGACCAAATTTTCCTTGTTGTCTCACCTATGCCTCTCCAAGTGCTCCAGCAGTTTTGCACCGATGAAAGCAGAGGAAAAATTTGGCACAATAATTTTCTTTTTTTTCTTTTTTTTTTTTTTTTGTGTGTGTTTTTTGTTGGATTTACCGTCATTTCCTGGAACGAGGTTGCACTTTGTCTCCTTCTCCCCTCCGCTAGGCGCCTCTTCCGTCACCCGTCTTCCCCTCGACCCGAAAGGGAGAGAGAGCGAGAGAGAGAGAGAGAGAGAGAGAGAGAACAGCAAAGAAGCAAGAAAGCAAAAGGCACAGGATTTCATCCCAGTCCCAAACATTCAGAAATCTATGGAATGTACAGTTAGGAGTGAACAGCAGCAAAGCAGATAATAACATGGACTGGCAAGACCTGTACATGGAATAGGTCCTGTTCTGACAGGGAAGAGGAGGGCTGTGCCTGGACCAATTTTACTTCCAGCCGGTTGCGACCGCGCCAAGAGCAGAGCCGAGAGCGGTGCCGGGGAGGATGCACCAGCTCGGGCTTTCTTAAAGGCTCAAATGACTTTCTTGGAGAGGGGCCAGGGGAGCGCGAGTGGGAGGCGGCAGTGAGAGGTGAGATGTGTCTGACATGGCCGGGTTTGAAAAGGGAGGAAAAAAACCTCCTTTCCCCCTCTCGGACCTGCAGGGAAGCCGTGGGAAGTCACCTCGGACACCTTTATGGAAACCGAATCTCATCTACCACGAATGACGATCCAGCCTGGTTCGACCATACCTGGGGAAACCTTGATGCAAGGGGTCCAGGCAACTCTGACGTTATTTAGAGCCCTGTGGGAACAGCACTTTTTTGTAGGCCATTTCTGACGAAAAAAAAAATATATATATACAACTAAAATTATTTGTGAACAACAACAACAAAAAATTAAAAATAAAAAAGCACTTAATTATTTTGTTTTGTTTCTTTTACTCAAAGGTCGTCTAACAACCTCCTTTTTTCCTGTACAATAAGGACTTCACATACAAATTTTTTTTTTTTTATTTTTGCAATATTTTATCCTGCCAAATTAAAAAAATATATTATGGCAGCCTGTTTGTTTGCTTTTATTTTTATTTCCAAATTCACTAACAAAAAGGTACATTAAATCCCTTTAAAAGGACAAGCGTACAGTTAAAAAATTACAAGCTTCAGTAAAAATACAGCAAGTGCCTACATCATATGAATCAACCAATATCAATATCCATTCCAGAAGGGGAAGGGGAGGGAAAAGGGGAAGAAAAAAAGAGAAAAATAGGTACAGGTCAGAAACGTGATTTTTTTTTCTGCAAAGCAATAACAATATTAAGCACTTTTTTCTACATACTTTTTCTACATGGTGTAGCAATCACCTTTTAAATCCCCAAATACAAGTCTCTATACATTTTTGAAATAAAAATTCAACACCCAAGGCAGAAAAAAATTTACTAAAACTCAAGACTTTACAGTTACAGTGACAAGAACAAATTTATAGACCCACCATTTAAATTTTACTGCAACATTTTCAAGGAAAAAAGAAAAGTTTTTTTTTTTTTTCTTTCTGGTTTTGTAAAATGCCCAGGCATTCTCCATTATTACAAATACTGGTCCACTTTTACAGTAATCAAGAAATTTTAATATATATAATATATACTAAAACCCCGTCACCAAAAGAAAACAATATACACATGGCCATTATGGCATTTTTTTAATAACCTATTAAGCAAACTTTGAAAAAAAAAAGATTGCTCAAACACACATACACACAATTTTTTTTTACCCTTGTATGTATTCAATACTGTAAACGTATTTTAAGACAGAGTGCACTAAATTTAACTTTTAAAAAAAATTAGCCGTTGTTCCTGAATTGTTTTTTCTCATTCAATGATAACAACTTGTAATTTGTGTCATTTGAGTTTTAATTCAGCAGTAAATCATTTCCATTCCATTTCCTAAGCAGCGTTGTCCTGAAAAACAAAAAAAGGCTGAGAATAATTCAGCTAATGGATGTCCGAAGTTGTGCTGGGTATACATCTTCATTTGATTGGGTCTTATGGCCTTTTCATGTCCACTATCTTCAACCAGTAATTTTTTTTTTTTAAGTAAATGTGGCTTTTTTTTTTATTTTTTTCCTAAAGAATGTACTTTTCTTGTTTTACTTTTTTTTTTTAAAAGTCTTTTCATTTCACAAAAACGTTTTGCATTTGTCTCAAGAGACTCAGATAGGAAGATCAGTTTTCAAGGCACTCACGTCAAATTGAATGGCAGTAGAAAAACTGTCCAATAAATTATTTTTATTTATTTTTCTTTATAGTGCCAGTATTGTGAATGCCATGCTTAGCAACACTGACACTTAATCTCAGCTGTTCCCTTACAGTTTAACCCACCTTTGGGCCAAGTAGAAGAATATGATGTAATTTCTTGTTGAGAAGCCATTTTTCTCTTAACCACAAACAAAAGCTTTAAAGTGCGGGTCAACATAATTAAAATGTCTAACCATAATTGTCCACTGTTTGCTAGTATTAGTCTTAACAGGCTTTACAAAATTTTAAATTTGAAAGCAGAGCAGGTGCATTTTTCTCTTCTTTACTTTTTTTTTCTATTGTAATGCTTGTCAGGTAACAGAATTCAATTCTGTTCCCAGTTCAGTCAATTCAGGCTTCAGTGGGAACAGAGTCTTGCCAATACAGGTAATCTAAGTCAATTTTTTTCCTCCTCCTTACAATAACATCATTGTACATCATATAAGATAGTTCTAGTATTTCTATTCATGAACCCAAAACCTAAAAGTCATTTTTTTTATCAACAATTTCTCATCCCGTTGCTATTATTTTAACTACATCAAATCAGAGCTAAAGAAGCGGCATGTACAGATGTCCTAAACTCTGTTAGATTTGTGTTTGTTTGTTGGAAAGAAGAAAAAAAAATATGGCATTCAATTACTCCAAGATTTGAAGAGAATATTGCCATACTTCAGATGTACTGTTATTATCAGTGGGAAGAGGGAGGGAAAAACACCCCAACCAGTGACAAAATGGCACCCTTCTGTTGCCAGTGCTTTAACAAGAAGAAGAAACTATCTGATAATAATGCACAATTAAGAATGTTATGTTTCTGAATGTAGCTGCCTTCTGAAAATACCTGCACTCATGTCTTTTTAGTTGACATAACTTTAACAATGAAATCTATCTAGAAAAGGCCTCTATCATTAGCAACATTGTCAGTGCTACATATTAGTTCCAATTCCAAACGAAAGTGCTAACTTTAAAGATTGTTATCCGCTGTACAATTTCGATTTCCCTAATCTTCAAGGTCATTTAAAAAGAGGACAGGGAAAAAAAGGAAAAAAAGAATGATCTCTGTTAAAATGCTGGCTTCTTCACAAGAAATTACACATGCTTAGCTTAAATTTCAACAAAGCAGCGGCCCAAAAATTATAATTTAAAAAGATATGTTTCTCTCCTACAATGCAAGTAATCTCAGGCTACGACTGGGTAAAATTAAAAAGGGATACCCAACAAAATTTTTAAAGAAATTTAAACAGAAAGAATAAAAAAAGTACCTGCACATGCCAAAAAATTACAAAAACCCAATAAATACAGAAATTATTGCACAGTTAAAAGGCTCCACAATTTTTACTGCCTTAATCAACCCTCGGGTTTAATAGAACTTTGTAGACACAGGTTATATTTAAGTGCCAAAGTCTGGCACCTACCATAGTTATGCTAAGTTATGTTTACGGAGGCAAGTTAGGTCATCTTTTCTCAGTTGGCAATAGTTAAACTGTACAAATAAAATGTTACCTAGACCCCTGAAATTTAACCTAGTGGGGGGATGGGAGGGGGGGCCGGGGGGGGCCTTAGCTTCTTTCTGCCTGCTCAATTTTGACGTCATTTGTCAGCAAATGTTCTCCATGCCACTTTTTCATGTGTTTCTCCAGGGTGCTGTAAACACTGAAGGGCATCTGGCAAATGTCGCAGCGGTAGACCTCCTTCCCTATCTGGCCATGCGTTTTCATGTGACGTGTCAGCTTACTGCTCTGGGCACATGCATAGTTGCAGAGCTCGCATTTGTAAGGCCGCTCTCCAGTGTGGCTCCGACGGTGCACCGTTAAATTGCTGCAGTTCTTAAAGACCTTGCCACAGTACTCACATGTATCACTCCTCCGCCCTTCCTTGGAGCTGGGTCGCCCGGGACCGGGGCCGCTGATGTGGGGAGTGCTGCCTCCGCTCGCCGTGCCGCTGCGCCCTGAGAGCCCCCCGTCGAGCATGTCCCCCGGCGGCGTGGAGAAACGCAGGCTGCCGTTCTCCGAAGAGTGCTCGGAAGAAGTCGCGAAGGGGGATTGTCGGGAGTCTGTGAATCCTAGAAACGGATCCTTCATGAAGTGCCTCGACGCCGCGTACCCTACCAGCCACTGGGAGTAAACGTTTTCGGAAGGTATTATTGTTGCTGGTGGCAAGTCCAAATCTTTCTCTACCTTTATTCTTTTAGAAGAATTGTTTAAGCTGGGGCTTGTGATAGGTGTCGGCTTGCGAGGGAACAAGTTTGGGAAGGGTTCACCCGGGCCAAAGTTTCTTCCATTCACTGTCCCTTCCTCAGTGCGGTCCAGCTCTCCTACCACTGAGTCTTCATCACCTGGATCTCTCTGACAGAGATCTCGAGGACACAAGTCTCGCTGGTCAGAAGACCTTTTCATGAAGCTACTCCTTTTCTGTTTCTCAGCTAGCATGTCATTATATTGCTGGATGGCACCTAGACTTACATTCTCTATAACTTTTCCCAGGACAAGGGATTTTTCGTCTGGTAACGATTTGGAGCCGTTTTCTCGGTTGCGACTCAGCTCTGAGTCCATACTGAAGCTTGACTCTGGCCTGCTCTCGTTCTCAAGCTCCTCTTCCTCCTCCTCCTCCTCCTCTTCTTCTTCATTGTCATGGCCCAAGGAAGGATCGCTCTCATTCCTGAAATCTGCCTCACCGGATTTTAGTCCCTCTCCAGTGAGCTCGCTTGTGCCTGGCTCGGGGGAACTAGTGGTGGACAGTCCATCATCTGACCTGCCTGTCATGGAGCCAGCTTTATGCATATGTGTTTTCATATGACGCTTTAGCTTGCTGGCCTGGGAGCAAGCATGGTCACAGAGTTGACACTTGTAGGGCTTCTCTCCTGTGTGACTGCGTCGGTGCACAATAAGATTACTCTGGAACTTGAAGGTTTTCCCACAGAATTCACAGGACTTACTCTTGGCCTGAGGCTGGGGAGGCGTAGTGCTGCTGGGGGGCATTGGTGGCAGTGGTGGGGTGCTCAAAAAAGGTGATTTAGGACTTGGCTGGAAAGGATTCAACAGGCGATGCATAGGGTTGGTGCGACTGGGCGAGACTGGCGGAGGGGTGGAACTGTTTCCTGCCAGTTCTCGAAGCCTTCTGGAGAAATCCATCGCTGGGGACTCAATTGCCATGGGGTTTAAACGCATAACTCTGTCAAAGGCACTGGGATGCTGGGCAACTAACCCCATTTCTTCGGCACTAAGGCGATGTGGATCCAGATGATGACGAGGTGGCGGGCTGAAAAGTGGAGGTGTGTTTGGGAGCCGACCCTCACCAAAGCCAGGATGTTCACGCAAGATGGGCCCTGTCATCCGTAAGAGATTGAAAGGGTTGTTGTCTCCAAGGAAATTCATCAGCGGGGACTGTGCAACAGTCTCTGGTCCCAGAGGAGGAGGGATGGTGATGCGTGGAGTAAGGGAACTGTTTGAAGGGCTTGTTTCCAGGTAGATGCGGAATCCATGTGTGTTCTGGGCATGCTGAAGCAAGAACCAAGCGCTATTAAAAGGCTGCTTGCATGTTGTGCAAATATAGCTTGAAGGCTCATCTTTTCCTATAAAAGAAAAACAGAAAGAACACTCAAAAAATAATACAGTGGAGAACATTTAAATGCAGTTGGCATGCACTTTATTTTGCTAACACATTTCCTCCTTAGCATTTCTGAAAGAAGGATTTAATTGCAATGTATTGACTGATATAAATTGTTGAACAGCACATTTACTCACCGTCCTTATTCATTTAACATGTACGACAAATATCACACATACACACTGGCGCTATATACATTTATATCCTCTAACTGGCATATAAACCTTCCTCTATGACGCAGGAGGATCCAAATCTTTTCACATGTTTATTCACAGAAAGGAATTTGTTTCAAGGGATTTATGACTACATATGAAAATCAAACAAAACGTGGTGCTGTAGGTTTTATGGGGCACTTGGAAGGAGCTTCAGTATCATTTTCACTCTTTCATTTTATATTTTTATATACTTCATGCAGCAAGTCCCCTGGGATCTTGCTGCATTTAATTTATACATGCTCCAGTCACACTGGCCCTTCCATTTTTTAAAATACTACGCAGGTATTTATCTGCGCAAGACCTATTAAAGTCAACAGGAGCTTGGAAAACGTAGCCTTGCGTAAACCACTTTGAGATTCTTTTTGCCAAAACACCAAGAAGCCACTCAAATGAAACATCCGGTAATCAAAGCCGACAGCACAGTTGCAATTAACAGTAACAAATGTCGGGCCGTGCTTGAACTGAGTCCCAAGAATTTCTGAGCCTGAGCCTGCCCTCCAACGCAGAAATGCTCTCCAGAGCCAAAACCCGTGTTCTGTTTGCCTTTCCAGCCTCTCCGAATGACTGCACAGCGGTGGAAAGCATTCCTTTAACCTTGATTCAGCTTTACATAAAAGACAGGTGTGGACAAGCCTGCGCTACAGTCATAATTTTGCTCGCAAGAAAATTCCAGTCCTGAGCACAATATAAGCTATGCACTATCTTCAGAAAGCTGCTTTTCTTTTTTTTTTTTCTTTCCTTTTCAACTCCTCTGCAAGGCTCCAACTCTGATAAATCCGTAAGTATGTGTCAACATGGGAGCCACCATCCAGGATTTGTGTTTTTGAATGAAGGGGAAGATGCCTGAAAAACTGGGAGTTCTTCTTTCCCCGTTTTCAGAAATCTAAAAGTAAAAGCTTGTTTGCTGTCTTGCTTGTTTGGTCGTTCTTGCTGGCGATGGGTCCCACTGCACCCACAGGCACTGAACTGCCTGAATGCTGAAAACCCGAATGAAACTTCCTGCCCTCCCGCACGTGTCCGGCGCCCCGAGGCGAGCGGTGGCTCCGGGCCCCTCCGGAGGCATCGGCAGCTGCGGTCCAGCCGTGCGGCCCTCTCCGCATGGGGCTGCGCTCACCCACTTGGCTTGAGAGCCAAGGGGGCTGTAAGCTAGATACAGCCGTATTAGCACAGCAAACTGAAATTAAGCTCCATTCCTGGAGGAAGGATTGCTGCTGCCTGATGAGTTCTCCTCCTAGGGATTGTGGGGAACTCGGGGAAAAAAATAAGAAAAAAAAAAAAGCAAAAGGACAAGTTTCGGGAGGGCATCCTGCTTGAGAAAAGTGACCGTAACTACTGCTGACACTAATGAAAGCCACGTACAAACACTGAAAGGACTGATACGTTATCCCTTAAAATCTCCTCCACACTGAGGCAGTTGGGGAGTTTTATGTCAGCTCCGCAGCCAAAGCAACAGTAAATGCTTGCGTTATTACTTCAAATATTTAAATTTCTGTTTCTTACAGAAATATGATGAAAACGTCTAGACCTTTAACTTTTCTCGCACGGTAACATGTGTAGTATAAAAAGTGGCAGAAATCACTGAAGCAGACTAAAGTATATAACATACTCTGTCAAAAGCTTTTTTTAACAATATGTTTTACCTCAGCTCACCCTAGAATAGATTTTAATAAAGCCCCTTCTGAAGTGTGATCTAATAGCAAATGAAGTGCAGCATCTTACAAGGTCATATATCTTCAAATTAAAGAGTGCTCTGCACCCTTCACCTTCGTTTTATCCACTCTAATTAATCGATTTATTACTCACAGCTGTTCAATTCTTTCACTTTTAAAGTCATAGCATGCCTTTTTCTTGTTGGTTTTTTTTTCCTTTTAATTTAAAAAATCAAGTATGTGAGCGCATGTGTGTGTGTGCATTCTCCTTACTTAGTTCAAGAGCTGACAGGAGGAAGAAAACAGCTGTGTATTAGACGACAGCGACAACAGCAGCGAGACGTTTCCTTCAGAAAAGGCACATACGTAAAAGGACGGATTCCTGGGCAGGCTGAGGATCAAGGCCAATCTAAAGCTGAAATGGCTGATTAAAGAAATTACCCTCAAAATGGCAGCTGGCTGAATGCTTGCTACTACATGTTATAGGGAACAGAGATGTTTTGTTTTGTTTTGTTCTCCAAAACTTCACCTCCACGAAATTCAAGTGAGGAAAGGAACACCCCCCGCCTTCAGTTTTCTTTCAAACAGAGCAAATTAGTGCTATTACTGATAAAAGATTTGCCAGCTCTCTGTCTCCTACCAATCGTGTCTTCCACCAATCGTGTCTTCCGTTTCATTTTGTTTAGCTTTTACACCCCTAAACACTCCTCCTGAGGAGACCTCTACGTAATGACAAAATTGTCTGGAGGCGACCCAACTACCATGCTCTGACTGCTTCCTGAATGATGGTGTGTGTCTTGGGGTGTGTGTGTGTGTGTGTATATATATATATATATATATATAAACTTTCACAACCCTCAAAGTCTCTCCCCAGACTCCCCTTTAAAAAAAAAAATAAAATGTTCATTTCCATATTATCACTTCATGGTTATCTTGCCTAGAAGTTGCCCTGAGCAGTGTAGACGCTCACTTTTAAGAACAGAACAATGTCAAAAAGTCTTTGAAGATCCACTCCGAACATTTTTATATTCAAAAACTTGCTAAATATTTTAAACATGCCCAGAAAGAGCCATGTATTGCTCAAGAATGATCCTTATATTTAATAATGCAGTGCACCTACACTATAAAACTCTTTGTTATAAGGCTACTTTTGATATATAGCTATCTTAATCCCTCGCCACCTGCACTGAAGTCTGTCTAAATACCCACTTTATGACAACTAGCTATATAGGCTTTGCCATATGCAGTCTTTATCACTTTAGTATGTGCTTGACTTTGAGCATGTGAGTAATCAACATCAATGAAACTTAAGCATACGCTGAAGTGCTTTGTTGGATAGTGATGAAATTACTCATGCGCTTAGAGTTAAGCACAAGGCAAGACTTCATTAATATCGCTCAATGAATTGCACGTGGCTTCGACCTTATGGCCTGTAAATAGACAAGATTTTAGGAATGAATGGCTCAATTATTTCTTTTTATCTTTACACTGGTTGGTATGTATCTTTGCATGTACTGAGATGTGACACTTGGACCGTAAGTTCTCAGCAATAGATGGTGGCTTCAGAGTTGCCCTAAATCTAAACAAGCACAGCTAGAGGAGGTCCGGCCTAAGAAAGGTTTCTAAGCCTGGATCCTTTTCAATACACGTTTATATCAAGACCCCTTAGATTTTAAGGCTAAAAAAGACGGTGAAATTAAAGAATGAGATGACTGGGATAAACCTCAAGGGTTCCTCTGGTCCAATTCCTGACCCAAGGCTAGTCCATATCTATGTATCCATACCTATGAGAGACAATCCATTATCCACCTTCAAAGGCCACCCTGATTAACAGAGGCACTACAACCCCTTCCCAAAGTCCACGTCACTGCTGTTCATCTTTACCATCATGAAGTCCAGATTTTTCTTGACGCAACTTAAGATCATAACATTTTGTCATACCTACATGGGCATAAAGATCATATAAAAAAATCTGATCTATACATTACAGCCATACAGCTTTCATCTGGTCCAAAGAGTTGCATTTCAACCAGCCCATGTCTTTTAAAGCCTCCTTCCTACAATTTGAATTTAAAACTCCAAGTGAGAGGGAGTCCAATGTTATCTTGGTAATCTGTGGCAATGGTTGTCTACCTTTAGTATTAAAAAACTGTCTTATTTGCTATTCAAATTGATGAGTTCAACTGCCAGCCATTAGATCTTGTTATGTTTTTATCTGGTAGATTAAAAATCTCTCTAGTATCTTCTCCCTAAGTAGGTAATTATAAGCTATGAATTTATTGAACACTCTTGCCTTTTCTACATATAATGACAAAAGATGGTCTTTTCCAGAAATATTAAAATGTGTTCCTTCCATTACTGCATGACAAATTATGTTTCGTTCAAAATGTCAAAGCAATAATGAGGTTTTTTTTTTTTTTGTGTGTGTGTGTGTGTGTGTGTGTGTGTTGCATGAATGGTACTAAACAAAGCCAAATTCAGATCTGCCTGCCAAGTTCTGCCCTTATGGAGGACATCAAACCAAGACAGGTAGGTTTGCCTAAGCCAGAACAAGAGTAGCATGAGTATGTGGACATTCATCCCACTGCACCAGACTGCTGACTTCCCTGATTTACCTGTCTGCTCTCTGCAATCTGACTAGTATCATTCAGTGATGCACAGATCTTCTGCGTCCAGGTTCTATATACCCAAAATCCTGAGTGTCTTTGCCCTGAAGATGAATTTCCCTCCAAATATTCTGAGCTGTTCTGGATACTATCAAACAATAATCAGTGTGAGATAAGAACTGTTGAGAATTCATTATTTTCCACAGGGCTATAGTACAAATCCTCCCCTCAGCATGCCTGAATAATTCCATTAGCTGTAACAGAGAATGAACTCCCCGCTTTTTAATCACCTGCCCATAACCCCTGCCAGGACTGCAGTGGATACCAAGTCAGGTCCATATAACTAAGCCATTCTTTACCTCTAGCAATACTTTCCAGCTAATGTTTTTGGTTCCCTTTACAAAGTTACAACAGCAGCAATAAAAATGTTAAGGAATTTTAATGCTGCTTTACTGCATCTTTAGAAGTTCAGGAAAAGTAGAAACTTGGAAGCTT